GTGGGCAGGCTGTCAGCGTAATTCATTAGAGGACCCGAGATTGATCCGGGAGAGAAATTTTGTCTGTCTCGGATATGCTGACTCTGTCTTTCACCAATTGGTCACCCCATTGTGGGCCTAGCCAAATGCAAGATGAGTAGAGTAAGGCTCCATAAAAGTACTCACTTTTGTGATTTTGCCTTATTAATTAATACTCTACAATGAATAAAAATTTTGGATTTGATTCTATCGATTCTTTGAAATGTTTTTAATGAAATAATGTACATAATGAAGTCAGAAAAAGATGTTTTGTAAAGGCTGAGGGATGAAGAAACCTCTGCTAAGTGCGTACTCTTAGATATAGGATAGATAAGAGTAAGAGTACGAGATCTAAAAGTACGCACCCTTCAAAAATGGTTCCTAAGTTATAACTGTACTTGTCCATTGGTTTTTATGATAATAAAATTGGTGTGATAATAAAAAAGCAGTATTCAGATAAACTATATTTGTTTCTTTTACGTTTAAAAAAAATACGTGCATTACAGCAATCTAGTTTCCCTAACTTTTCCAATTAAGTTACTAGATATTTTGGGACAATCAAGTACAAGTTATTATCAAGTTTTTTGAGCTTCTTCGAAATATTCGTTGATAAAAAATAATTTTCTGTCTCTTTTTCTTTTAAAATCTTATTTTTATAGCTGAAGAAATAAAATAAACATAGATTTAAAATTTTTTTGAATGATATCAAAGAGTATAATTTATCAGGACCGCTGAGAGCACAGTGTTCTCTTGAATGCATCTGTCTTAATTCAGAAAAACAATTAGTTAGAGCACCGTTCACGCATGCTCTTGTAAATTCATTCACAACTTAACTAACAAAGTAACTCGACTTTCTATCATCAAACAAAAACTATTACTTCCACTTTAAAGATCTGAGAACTCATTATTTCAAAAGGTAAAATATTTCAGAAAGGTAGAAAATTTCTCTTAGCCATTAAAATCACAAGGCTCTTTTTATGTATACACAATTTACAGAAACTTAAACGTTCTCCCATAAGTTTTGTATAGCACTAATCATTTCAATATTTTCAACTTCGAGAAAACTCGTACTCTTAGGTGACATTACCTTATAAAAAAGGCCTTACTAGAACCACATAATTATTTTATATATACATATATGGTGTTATAGCGTATAAATACTGTACATTAAAAAATAAAAATCTTTTTAAAATTTAACAGGGAAGGGGGCACACGGATTTGAACCATGGACCTCTCGATCTGCAGTCGAATGCTCTACCACTGAGCTATACCCCCAATTGTTCGATAAAATTTTTTACTACTCTTTTCATTCAAATTCAAAATTGAACAAGCTAATTTTATTCATTTTACGGAATACGTAACGAATTTTTGAAATATTAAATTAGCATCGTTTGTGTAAGTTTTCTACTTTGAACTTTCATATTTACGAAAAGTCACGAAGAATGTTAATTGTGATAAGATGGAAAAATACTTGCAAAAAGAACAGAAAATGGTATTTGTATATATTTCTGCTTGTATCTTATTTTATTGAAAATACAAAAAGTAGTAAATGATTTTATTCTCCAGTAAACTGATCGATTTGTGCAATATCTTTTTAGTTTATTCGTAATATCTTGATCTGATATTTCCTCGAAAGTATATTTTTCTGCTTGTAATTATGTACAGTACTGTACATATAGGTTGAATATTCTCTCCGTAAATGCGCGTTTACACGGAATTTGAATGAAAAGGGCAATAAAAAATATATACAAGCAGAAATATATACGTCTTCCCACTCTCCTTTCCTTCCCTTCCGACTTCACGGCCTCCCCTCATGCCTCGCAACGTGAAACATCTCACTCCCACAGTGCCACACACAGCCCCACATGCGACTATAAACATTCTATTTTAAGAAGAAGAAGACACGGTTTCGACAAATAAATATTCCAAACTTTATTAATACTAATAAACAATTAATACTGACAGAAAATGAATTTAGAAGCAGCACAACGTATAGAGACAACGGGAAATAAATAAAGAAGGAACGAGACAGATGAACAAAGAGAAAGAAGAGTCCAGTTAATAGAGAGANGGTCCATTCGTATCGTTTATTCGATAAGCCAGTAAAAACCGTAGACTTCTCTAAATGCATTTTTAATATCACAATTACATTCCGAATCGCTAGCCACGATATAAGGGCTACAATTAAAAATAAAATAATAAAAACTTACTCGGTGAAATAAAATATGTGGTGGATGTACCGGTACATACAAAATATTCTTCAATTATACGAATATACTTTTAAAGAAAATTATAATTAAATATAGCTTTGTAAAGAAACGTACATAAAAATATAAAATATTCTTTACTTTTTAAATCTTAAAACAATGCGCTTAGTCAAATAGCTCCCTACGAGTGCCTAACGGATGGAATCAAAGACGGTTGCGGAGCGTGCATACACGCGAACTGCCAAATCCCCAGGGTGCCGATACCGGTCAATGTCAAATACCTCTTTTGTCGCATCACTAGTACTGTATATATCAAAGGACGCGACAGGGCTGTTGTAGATTTCAAACGTTTCTCACCATAGCTGTAAAAACCTAATATGTATGTTAAATTTAATAGTCATTTGTTTTCTAACTAATTCGTTTCAGGAAAAATTTCTGTCTTTATTACATCTAATACAGTATTTCGAAATCACTCCCCGCTTTACGCTATAGATTGGTTTGGTTAAGCTTTTGTTTAAGTAATATTCCGGCTCTTTCGTCATGGTTTTGTTTACGTCTCCAATTTCCTAATCGCTTAATTATTTAACTACTTCTTAAGTAGAAATAAGTCGAAACCGGTTACATCGTACTCGAATATTTGTAGTCTCGGGAAAAAAGTAGGAAGACAAATTTTTATGACAAACGGATACATAAATCGTAAATGTAAGGAAAATAAATTCTAGAGCTTTTTCTGTACCTGGAGCATTTACTAAATTTAGTTGTAAATGAGGCTGTCGAAGTAACGGTTAATTTTTTAACATTATACAAGAATTGTACACGTTTTTTTTCTACATCCCCTTAAAGATGGGACGTACGAAATCGTAATATCACCGGTTTAACATCGAAATCCGTGAGTAATATAAAATCGGTGAGCGGAATAAATATATCAAATATTTTAATGGATTTTTTAAACTCCCGTGAACTATACAGAACTATCGTAAAAACATACCAGTAAATTATTATCGTCGGGTTAAGTTATAAATCTACTCGTTATTTACGTAATTGGCCAAATATCCAGCGGGCGGACGGCTAACGGCCCAGAACCGGTCCCGGATAGAATTGGAAGCGTTATATGTGTAGCATTAACCCGAGGTCGTAGACTTCCACCGGCTAAACCGGGTGAGGTTGGTGCTCTGTAAAACGCATGCGCGAATTTGGATGCTGACAATACAGTGGTTCCACTCCGCCACTAATATTCGAATATACAATTGCGATCTTATTTTTTTTTTCACGTGTAGTATAGAAATTTGTAATAAGATACGTAATGCGGTTATAATAAAATATTGCGCGNCCAAGATTTCTCTTGAAAATTTAATTTTGTGTGGCTTATTAGAAATTTGGAATATATATGTTTTTGTTTTAAAGTACATTGAGTTTTTTTCTAAATAAACTTTGGGTTCAATAAAGAAATGCAAATTCAAAAGTGAAAATTTTTTTACATTCAAAATTGATGGTGCTTAAAAAAGTATAAACAATAGTGTTATTTAAAAGACGGCGAGATTACTGGGACCGTTAGGATGTCAGTATACCACTCTGGGTGACTCGGGATCGAATCCCCAGGAATTTTCATGAGGGATCTCTCCCAGTTAGTCAGACCCGAAACGTAACCACCCGGCAGCTTCCATTGTGGCCTGGCGGAGCTTATTATGTATATGATTAAAAGATCTGTTAGTGTCCACAAGGTAAATAAAAAACATTGCTATTTTAAGTAACCGGAATAAATTTATTAATGTACAGTATTATTATTAAGTCAAATATACAAATATTAATAAATAAAAATTTTATTCGCTAACACAATACGTTTACCAGCAATATTTAGTTATTAAAAGCATCATAGCTTAGTTAAGGTTTTTGACTCTAGATTTAGGGTTGAGTGACAAATTTTAGGGTTAAAAAACTTTAGAGTATTTTTTAGGGTTTTTTTTTTAATTTCTGGTGATACAAAATCATTTAAGCATTTTAAAGTATTTTAGACGCAAATATTCATTACTATGTTGAAGATTGAAATCGAAATACTAATGGCTCGTTTTTAACAAAGACAGTTTTTTCGTTATTTCTAATCATTCACATGAATTAAATTTGTGTACCAATTTTTCTTACTTTTGTACCAGAATTAAAATTTATAACTTTATTTAAAGTATTTGTCTTTTTATTATTTTCCTACCAAGTGTGATCGGTTATCCGAAAGTGCACTGCTCCGATTATTTTGGAAAATTGACTCTACTGTATCGTACTAAATTTCTCGGAACAGTATCTTTACGTATCAACAGTACTCGTTAGAACTCGCTGTTTGCTAGTTGCCAAATAATCATATAAGCAAATTGTAAAACTTCAGGCTGAAAATATTACGAAATCCTTCACGTAATGATATGAAATTTTGTACATTCTATTTCCATACACAATTGTATAAAATTTCCAATAGGTTATAGTTAAAATCTTCTTCAGCCCATTTTTCGGTGTGGACATGGATTTCAGTTTACTTAAGTAGGAAATTTTTTTAAAAGAGAACGTTTTATATGGGAAAATTTTACATATCTCTTAATTAAGGAAAAAAATTTAGGACTCGAATTGAGGAAAACTGCTAATGCGGGAACTTCTTAACCGAGTTCTACTATATTACCAAATTGTTTATATTAATTTAAATCAGATTATCTTAAAAACATTTTAAAAAATCTAGAATTTTTAAATGAGTTCTGACGTCTTTTGAAGAAAACTCCAGAATCTTTGGGGGACTTGGCAACACTAATTTGAAGAAAAATCCACGATCAAATGACTTTTGGGATTTGGCAACACTGATTGAAAGTATTTGTCGATCAGATGCGAAAATGAATGCGAATTTCTCATAGATTTTATTTTTGTAGGCAGAAGGTATTATTAACCTTTAATTATTATAATTTTATAATTACTTGTAAACTATAAAACTTTGCACAAAGTTAAATAGGTTGCATATATGATTAACAATACAATTAAGTTAATAGAATGACCATAATATTCCCTGATGACGTAGAAATATAATGAATTAGTATATTATAATGCTCAGTGTAAGTGCTTATAAATGTCAAATAATGCTAATTTATTTATCAAAAATATTAACAGTGACATTGATTGCAATTAATGGTAAAAATTAATGGTGGAACTAATTAATATATAAAATTAATCAAAATCTTTTAAATGACATAATAATTTATTGTAATAATTTTTCAAGTATAATTCAAGTTTAGATATTTTCATTATGTGTGGAATCTTAATCTGGATTTATTTAACTGATTTGCTCACTAGTGCTGAAGTGGATAACCTCCCAAACACTACTAATTGGTTATGGATTTGTACCTGACTGACTGGCTTGTTATGCTTCAGGTTTCTTTTATGTGCCTGATGTGTAAATTTGTGCTGATATCCCATAGAAATTCCTCCTAGGTGGCACTCTCTTGAAGGTTGCCCGTGCATTGTGTTGCATATTTCATCAGTCTGGTCCACTCCAATCCTTTAACTGATTTGTTTTGATGGAAATTTACTATTTCTAATAAATAGCAATATTTTATTTCTACTAGACTTCAATAACTGTCTGTAAAGATTGTGGCCATCCCTATTTGTACAGAATAAACAACTTGGGGAGATGTTCTGCTTCAACATTTTTATATTTGCTTTGATTAAGAAGAAATACCCTATCTTTAGGGTTGCCGACTATCTCGCATTGTGTGGGTCTGTTGTATATTTTCAAATGAAATCTCACAATATGTAAAGATATGAAAATCCTGCAAAATATTTTTAAATGATACTATTAAAGAAATTTATAAAAACATATTTATTGAAAATAAAATAAATGTAAGTGTAGTGTGGACCATGGATGTGTGATAGAGCAACAAGTGAAGTTAGCTTTTTATTGTTTTTGTAACCACCAAAAAGGGGTTTGTAGGCAAATAAACAAATTTGTTATGTCCTTCCAATCCCACGTTCTCCAGATGTCGAGGATTGTAACTGTAATTGATGTAAGGTTACAGAGTGCACCTATACTGAGGAGGGATTGGTACAAACTCTAATCTGAAATGCAAATAAATAAAGATCTGTGAATTAAAATTGTCTTCTGAGTGGTTTTTGGCCTCTGGTGAACTTTGGATTGGAAGGACAACAAATTTGTTTATTTACCTACAAACCCCTTTTTCATAGTTACAAAAATAAGAGATTGTATCTGGTAAATATTGCTGATATTAGCTTTATATTAATCAAAGTTAGCTTAATCAATCACTGATCACATAAGGAGTAATGCTGCTGCTACTTTACAGAATCGGACGTACTTTCAAGAAGTCTTCAGCATTGCCAGATGCTTTTAACATTTCTAGACAAAATTTTTTTAAAAAAGCAGCCCAAAAGTAGCCAACTCAGAAAACAGATTCTTTATTGATAAATAACCTGTGATTTGACAATAAAATCAAAGACACATTCTGTACTTTTCCAGCAATAACTTTATTCACAGAACAAGTTTTTGGCCAATTTACATACTTGAAGCCGATCTGTAAATTGCCAAAAATAAGGATCACAAGACTCAAAATACACATTACATAAACTGTAATTTACTGCTAGGTCGAGAACACTCATTTTAAATGCAAAGTAGAATGCAATGAATTATGCAACAAATTATCTCATTATGACAGACTATAAAATTGATTTTTCAATGTTATTTTGAATTGTAATAAACCATTGCCAACCAATTGTAGTAAACTTAGTCAAATTATTGCCGTTTTGCCTGAGTATTCCAGCTACTATTGCTTTTGTAGCTGGAATACTTTTGCTCTGTTATGAACATGTTTTGGATGAAAAACTGAATTAGGTGTTCTGTAAAATTAATAAATAGTGAATCAATAATTAAGTTAAATTTGAAAGAATCCTGTTGAGATGTATACAACTGTCTGTGAGTGTTAAAAGAAGCTTCTTTCTGAAACATGTTCTCAATGTAAATATATGTTTAAGAAATAAATTGTTTCATATGAAAGTCCTGCATTTTCATAGAAAATTCCCTGTTTTTCTCCTGTATATCACAAAAGATTGTAGTTTGATTCAATATTCATTTTACCATTTTCTTATAAATTTGATCTAAATTCTAAGTTGGTGTTAGTTTCATTCATTGTTGTACTTGTACCAAGTATGTATTATGTTGAAAATACATCTAAATTGTACAGTAATACCTCGACTTACGTTACCCCGACTTATGCGAACCCAGAGTTACCTGATTTTCAAATCTCGTCGATTCGTCTTTTGTTTGAGCGGCATGCAACTCTTGATTACTCACTCCCCCCCACACTATTGTTCAGCTTACATGTTCGAACGTGTCACACGGAATCGACACATAGCTACAATTTATTTTGTGTTATTTATTTCTGTGTTTGTTATATCTACAGAGACTCGAGAGACTCTATGTGGTGATTTCTTATAACCGTGAACGAATCAAAAGACGAGATAAGATTAACGAGAACATTTATTAGCTTACATACATCCGACATGGATTTTACACAAATTGCGAAATTATACCCCGACTTATGCGAATTCGACTTATGCAGTCATTGCTTGGTCCCACCTATCGTGTAAGTTTGGGTATTACTGTATTGTTAATTTTAATTTAATATATAATGACTGATTCGCAGCCCAAATCGTGAGAAATTAAAATATTTCTATATCTCTCAGTGTAGTCTTTATAATGTGTTTTAATTTGTTAATCTGTATAGCACATTATACTTTTAGTTATATATATTATATATTAGTATTAATTTTTCTTGGACAAAAGGAAAACCTTTTAAGCATTTTAAGCATTGTTCAATGCTACAGTTTTTGCTGTTTTCCCTGTAAGTTTAATTTTCATTAATCAGCCTTGACAAATATAACTCTACATTTGAAATTCTTTATTAGTCAGTTAAAAATGTATTATTCTTTATCTTTTCTTCATGTTTTCATCTAAATTCACTAAATTAGAGAGGTTGCGGCTGACATTTTCATCATGAAAACATGTACGTCGGATGTTCCGCCACCGCCTTCCTGTAAACCTAGAAGTTTGATAATAGTGTTTGGAACATTGAGCATGATTCCACTGATGTTCCAAACACCATTGTCAAACTTGTAGGCTTACAGGAAGGCGGTGCTGAATGTCCGGCATACACATTTTTGCAATGAAAATGTCAGCCGCAATGTGTCTATTCTTATGTTAAATTAGATTATCTTAAAAACACTTTGAAGAATCTAGGTATTCAAAATTAAGATTATTTAAGTACAAATCAATACGAGTTGGTCAAAAACTTCCTGGAAATGCTGAGGACAATGCAGCACACCAACTGAATATATAAAAGTAGAAATTGTAGAATATTGCAGCACTCTTTGGGAGGTATTGTCACACTGTGCACGTGCTGGTTGACAGATGGTAGAACATCTGTAGCAGGGTTCATTATTTCTTGTTATAAGGATAGTTTAGCAGCAGAATGTTGCTTCAGGAATAGTGCACTAACTGCATCAAATTTTGTGTTTTATTGAATAAGACACCAGCAGAAACATTAAATATGTTGAATAAGGCTTATAGTGAGTTAGCAATGAAAAAACAAGTGTACAAGTGGCATAAGTGAAGGGTAGGGAAAATGTCAACAAAAACCTATGTAATGGTTCTCCAGGAGTTTGTTGACTGACAACATTGTGAAACACCACACAAACACACCCAAACAACTGTTGAAAAAAATTGACAGATGAGCAACTAGAAACAGAGATGACATTAATGGGTAACTTTATTGATNGTCATATTGCAAAATTTTTATAATTTAAACACTAAATTAATTAATTACGTGATAAACAAAGCACCATTACTTAAAATTCAATTGTGTATATAACGAAACAACAATGAGATAGTTAAATGTGACAATCGTAAGTCTGCATTGTAGGAATTGGTTCGACGTATGACGAAAACAAGAAAAGAGAAGTCAAACAAAAATAAGAAGTGGAAGAGGTTACAACACAATGGTCCTTGTTTAGAACCTTCGTATTCCAGACTTCCAAATTCGATCCACTTTCTCTACAATGGCCAGACTTTGAAACTGAGCAAATCTGCAGAAGAAGCAGCCAGTTACTACGCCAAATTGTTTAATCATAGATATTCCCGGAAGAAACGTTTCGTTAAGAACTTCTTCAATGATTGGAGACAAATAATGACAAGTAGAGAGAGAGAAGTAGTGACTAATTTCGAACTGTGTGATTTCCGAAACATCTCTGAATTCTACCGGAATCAATGGGATGAAAAAAAGAGACTTTCTAGAGAAGAAAAAATAAGACAAAGAAACGAGCTTTTAGAAAAATATGGCTATTGTATTATAGACGGAAAGAGACAAAAAATAGGAAATTTTAAAGTAGAGCCGGGAGGATTATTTATAGGAAGGGGAAATCATCCAAAAATGGGACGAATAAAGAAAAGGGTTCGAGCTGAAGACGTGACTATAAATATAGGAGAACTTGACAATGTACCTAATCCTCCCGCCGGTCACCAATGGAAGGAAGTGAAACACGACGACACAGCCATATGGCTGTCGTCTTGGACTGAAAGCCTTTTTAACAAAACCAAATACATTTTTCCGGATTCCTGTTCGAAATTCAAGATGCGCAGCGACCTCGAAAAATACGAAACTGCACGAAAATTGAACGGATGTATCGAAAATATTCGCGAGACTTACAAAAATATGTGGCAATCGGGTTACATCAGAGAGCGACAAGAGGCAGTGGCTCTGTACTTCATTGACAGATTAGCGCTAAGAGCGGGAAACGAGAAAAAGGAGGACACATTAGACACCGTAGGTTGCTGTTCTCTTAAAGCTAAACACGTCAAGCTGAGAAGAGAGGGAAATAATTACAAAGTATTCCTAGATTTTCGTGGGAAGGATAATATTAGATACATGAATAACATTTCGGTGGAGAGAGAGGTGTATCAGAATTTAATCGATTTCATTTCAAATAAGAGACCTGGGGATAAACTTTTCGACCAACTGAACGCTACATTACTGAATGGACTTTTAAATCAGATGATGGAGGGTCTCACGGCAAAGGTATTTCGAACATATAACGCGTCAAAATGTTTCCAGAACGAGTTAAATATATTAACGACCGGGAACACTAATCTTGAACAGAAAATGCTGGCGTACAATAGAGCCGCGAGAAAAGTTGCCGCTCTGTGTAACCATCGACGAAGTGTGCCGAAAAATTATACAAAACAAATGAAGAATCTACAAGATAAAATACAGAAGAAAAGGAAATTAGTCGAAATTTGCGAAAAGGAAGCGATCCTGGCGAAAAAAGAATTCGAAAGATGCGGAACGGATAAGGCTAGAATGACATATTTCAGAAAACAAAACAGTTTACACAAGACTAAAGAGCAATTGCAAAAATTAGAGTTATCCGCCATTAATAAAACGGAGAGCAAAAGTATTGCTATAAGTACTTCCAAATTAAACTACTTAGATCCTAGAATTTCGGTGGCTTGGTGCAAGAAGTGGGACGTGCCCATAGAGAAAGTGTTTAATAAAACGGAAAGAAGCAGATTTGAGTGGGCGATACAAACTGCCGACGCAAATTTTGTATTTTGAAAATAAAAAAAAAAAATTCATTCTTACATTTTTTTAAAATTTATAAATAAACGAACGTTATATCTCTTTTATATTCCTTTATTACAGTTGTAACAGCTAGTCAGTAGATGCAATCAGCATGTTAAGAATAAAATATAAACATTATTACGAGGCGTCACATTTATTGGATTTAAAACAGGTTCTTCCAGAAGAATAATATCGTTTTAAAATATTGTGATTATGTTAATTATCATCCGAGAATGTCAGAATGTACATTAAAACATTGTAAAAACACTCCAAGTTTTACGTTTGGCCATTACAATCTCAATGTGCGCATATCGTGTTACAAGGCACACATACACGTAGTGTTGCCACCCGTCCGGTTTTCACCCGGACAGTCCGGGAATTGACTCACTGTCCGGGTGAACTATTAATTTTGTCCAGGAATTTCTTAGAAATTGTAAAATTACGATGAAACAAAGTTCTTGCAAATATTTTTACAAATTTACACTATTTTAACAGCGAAAGAACTCGCACTCACTGAAACTCATCTGCAATTCTGCCATGTTAGTCTGTTTAAGCTGACCTGTAGCGCGCGACCTGTCGACCTTTTATTTTTTTATTTTTTTGCATGCACGATCGTACACGTCTCCAATATCCAATAGAGCTAANAGTCTTCGTTAGGCTTAACATCGACGAAAATTCAACGCGAAGCACATTGTGAAACACCACACAAACACACCCAAACAACTGTTGAAAAAAATTGACAGATGAGCAACTAGAAACAGAGATGACATTAATGGGTAACTTTATTGATATGGCTGACAAAGGTGTCAACTATTTGGATAACATTTTCTTGAGATGAAAATTGATGTTTTATCATTCAGGTCATAGTGGCTATCTTATGCCTCAGAGAAAGATGGCTTTCAGAGGTGCTTTGAAATGTATGCTTGTTGGCAAAATTGTGTTGCTACTTAAGGTCCATACTCCTTATATGTAACCAATTCAAGACTTTCTTTTCAGAATTGTGTTTGAATAGAAAAATTGAAATTATATTTTATATTTATTAGATATATTTTATAAAACCAATTTTTTTAAAATGTGTCTTCTTTTTGTAAGTTACTCATTTTTTGTACATTATTTTTAATTATACATTCAGAAATTTTATGTAATTAATTATTTCTAAAAGAAAATGTTTTAGCATAATTAGCCTGTTTTGACCCATGTTACACACACAAAATAAATACTACAGTAGAGCGTCGATTATCCGAAAGTCAATTATCCGAAAGAATTCCAGTCGGCAAATTTAAATTTTCACCAGTGCTATGGCGCTGCAATCTTTGGCTATGTCTTGAACTACTCAAATATTTTACGTTTTTGATACTAAATTAACTTCTGAAGTATAATTTTTTATTGTTTTTATATTTTTCAATATATTTATTTTGTTTGTAAAAAATAAAGAAACAATTTTTAATGATACAATAGCCACGATTATTATTTTAAAAAGTTTACATTAGGCTGAACATCAAGGAAAGTTCAACGCAAAGCGACACGCAACAGAGAAAATTTTCAACACGGGATAGGTTAATATATTTTTTCGTACATAATCAGTTATCCGAAAAATAAGTTATCTGAACAATCTCAGTCCCCAATTGATTTGGATAAACTCTCTAAACAACGCTCTACTGTATATACAACCAAACAATTTAACAATATGTTATAAAAGCTAACCAGTTTATTATCTGTATTTTTTACTTCAAGATTTTCTTAAAATATTTGATTTTATGTACCTTTTATTACTTGATTCTAAATTAGATTATTTATATTTTTTAAATTATCTATGGCTATACAGAACAACTTATTTAAGGAAAACACTACATTAAATTTTCAAATAAATAAAAAAATATGTGTGTGTTGTATTTGCTTTCATGTTACAAAATTTTAATTTCAGATACCTTTATTTGGTATTATGTCATCTGATTCAGCTGATCCATTTTATTGGATGAGAGTTATTTTAGCTTCAAATCGTGGAACATTGATGGAACTAGGCATTTCTCCCATTGTTACATCTGGGCTCATCATGCAACTTCTTGCTGGAGCTAAAATCATTGAAGTTGGAGACACTCCTAAGGATAGAGCACTTTTTAATGGAGCTCAAAAATGTATGACAGTTTAACTTTCTATGTTTATAAATGTTTTTCAGCAATAATTTAATATAATTATTATTNGCAATCTTTGGCTATGTCTTGGGCTACTCAAATATTTTATGTTTTTGATACTAAATTAACTTCTGAAGTATAATTTGTTTATTGTTTTTATATTTTTCAATATATTTATTTTGTTTGTACAAAATAAAGAAATAATTTTTAATGATACAATAGTCACGATTATTATTTTAAAAAGTTTACGTTAGGCTTAACATCGACGAAAATTCAATGCAAAGTGACACGCGACGGAGAAAAATTTCAACATGGGATAGGTTAATTAATATATTTTTTCGTACATAACCGGTTATCCAAAATATCGATTTTCCGAACAACCCTAGTCCCCAAATGATTCGTATAATCGACGCTCTACTGTATTCTATTAGAGAGATCATTTAAGTTTGAGTTTAAATGTTATATCTGAATATGCCAGAAAGTCTCAAAAAATGTTTTATATTTACAACAAGCAATTATTAATTGTGACATCATCACAATGCCAGGCTGCAATTTTTAATCATATTTTTAATTTCTCCATCTCAAATTAGTAGTGGTTTGCCCCTGTACAGCATACTTTTCCTTTAACAATAGTCATGCTGATTATCTGTCTATCTTTCAGGAGAAAATGTTTGAATTGAAACATGATTTTTGGTTTGCATTGGAAGTTTGTATATAGTTAATTGGGGCCTTGTGCCCCTATGGTTTCCATATCTAATCTTGTCTTTTATCTAACTCCAGATTCTCAAGATTAAGGAAAGACAGATGGACAACAATGGGAATTTATAGGTCTACAATTTTTTGAAATTGCAGCCCAATAAACAGACCTCTATTGGAATAGCATTTATTTTTCTATGTAAAATGATCTAGATTAAACAATTTAATTCTTTGATTAGGGTAGTAGTTGAAACATTAACATATTCTTTCAGCTTGGCTTAGAGTTATCTATTTGAATCAGTTTAAAATTAGAAAATTAATTTTTTTGCACCTAACATCTACCTCTAGTTGTTTTTATCATGTCATTTATAATTTAAGATTTGTAGGATAATTTCTGATGATTAATACAGCTGTTGGTTGGTGTGTATTTTAAATTAAACATTACAATACAAAATTTAGTTAACATTTGTATTAATACCAATAAAAACTTTTATCTTTTCTTGAGGAATTTTTTTTTTACTAACAAATAAACGATGCTAGCAATAAAATGTAGATTGAATTACATGTAAATATATTATGATTGATTTTACATATCTGATATTATTAGAGAGAACCAATTAAGATTTAATCCAAACCTTCATGTATTCTCATAATCATGTCATTCATTGTTTTTTTTTATTGCAAATTATGTATTTAAAAATAATTTTAAATTGTTTTTTGTAAGTTAGTAAAAGTATTTAACACGTTCACAGCGTCAGTAGATAAACGTTTAGGCAGCTGCTGGATGTTACGAGTCACCCGTGACTCGTAGTCTATTTTAATACAGGGCGGCACAAGTCACCTGTGCCTCGTACTATTAAATTAATATATTTTATTGCAACCATACTTAATACATTGCTATTATTTTATTAATGTTTGTAGAATTATGTAATCAAAACATATGCGCTGCCCCACAGAAAAACTAGCAATTATGTCTGTAGCCCTAACTAGACATGTTCATACAAGTCACATGTGACTTGTAATGCTGTGAACGTGTTAAATTGTTGTGAATTTTTATTGAATATTTCATATTTCATGTTTAGTTTAATATGTATTGAACTACCAAGTTTTTGGCAGTATCAGCTGTTACTGATTATTAAATATTTTAGTTTATTGATTAGTAGAGATGATGATAAATTCTATTGATACTCTTTTCTATCCATCTTCTATTGCTGTTGGTAACAAATGAAAGCTTGAAAGCTCTGGTTTAGAGAATATTCACTTATTTTAGTAACCATTTAAATTCAAATATAAGAAATAAGTTTATGATTGATTTATGAGTACCTTTCAGAATTGGATCCTAAACAATTGTAATTATCTAGTTTGACAAGGTTGATTCCAGCCCTATTTTAGGAAAAGTTCAAACATTCCTTGAATAAATTTATAATAGGATAGAAAAATTGTCAAGCTGCCAATGCTTGAAATATTGCTAGATCTGGCAACAATGCTCACATGGTGCCCATTTATCACTATGCCACTCCTCCAAAATTTGATTTTGATGACAAATCACATGCAGAGAAGATGCTCTGTCTACTTGAGTTAGTTTTACAGCACAATAAAATGATGTAAAATATGCATATTGAGTTAGCAAAAAGATAAAAGATGGAGTATTTGTTTGTAAAATTAACTGATTTCAATTTCAATATGCTGGTATTTCAATTACTATTTCTTACAAATTTTTAAAGTATTTTATATGTATAAAATATTGAAATTTGATATTTCAGATTAAATACAGTAGAGCATCGTTTATCCGAAAGCTGGTTATCCGAAACGTCTGTTATCCGAAAGCATTCCACACTTCAAACAACCCTTTACAGCTCCAGTGGTATTTGTTTACACCTTAGCAATCATAGAGGTGCCCTTCTTCATTAAAACAAGAGAAAGCATTCTAGTCGGCAAATTTAAATTTTCGCTAGTGCTGTGGCGCTGCAATCTACGGCTATTTCTCGGGCAACTCAAATATTTTACGTTTTTGATACTAAATTAACATCTGAAGTATAATTTTTTATTGTTTTTATATTTTTCAATAAATTAATTTTGTTTGTACAAAATAAAAAAATAATTTTTAACGATACAATAGTCTTCGTTAGGCTTAACATCGACGAAAATTCAATGCAAAGGATACGCAACGGAGAGAAATTTCAACATGGGATAAATTAATATATTTTTTCGTACATGATTCGTTATCTGAAAAATAAGTTATCCGAACCACCCCAGTCCCCAATTGATTCGGATAAACGACGCTCTACTGTATTAATGTATTATGCAAATAAAATAGTCTTAGTTTTATTATCTGCATTATAAATGCAAAGCTGATGCTATCAATTTTGATATATCAAATGAGATATTTCTAGATACTTGACTGTTTTCCTTGATGATTATATGATATAATACATACTTGGTAAAAGCTATATTTAAAAAGTGAAAATATAAAATCAACATTGATGTTTTGTTAAAAAAAATACAAGAGGATAAATAAATACACAAATAACCAAATAATTCTAACAAGGGGACCTTAGTCTTGGAAATTCAGTTCAGGATGAGACTTTGCAGGTTAGTAGTATACCTCAAGGATGCCTACCCAGAAGATTGTAAAGCACACTAGTCAGAAGATTTCGAGAAAAAGAGCTTTAAAGTTTTAATCGCAGCTTGTATACTAGTCGATTTTACATTATGGCAGAGCAGTGAAATGGCTGATTCTGTAGCAAACTCGCTTGCAACACAGGCGATCTAAGTTTGATCCTAGCCTTGGCTAACTTTTTTTTTTAATTGTTTTAAAAATTATAACAACTTTTAAATAAAGTTAATGACCTAAAAATATTNCTTACACTTGTGAAGAGTGTGAACAGAAGTTTTCTGTAAAGGGAAGCTTAATTAGACATCTTCGCACCCACACTGGAGAAAAGCCTTACAGTTGTGACCAGTGTAAACAAAAATTTACACAAAGGGGAGACTTAATTATACATCTTCGAATCCATACTGGAGAAAAACCTTACACTTGTGACGAGTGTAAACGAAAATTTACACGGAAGGAACACTTAATTACACACCTTCGCATCCATACTGGAGAAAAGCCTTACACTTGTGATGAGTGTAAACAAAAATTTACACATAAAGGAAACTTAATTAGACATCTTCGCACCCACACGAAATAAAATCATTACAGTTGTTATGAGTTAAAAGAAAAATTTTAGGAAAGTAAAGTTTAAATAAACAAACTTCGTATCCACTAAGGAGAAAAACCGTACGTCAATTATGTCCATAGACATTCATTCGAAATACGGACCTAGAAAAAACATTAAAAAACTCGCTTAGAAACAAACTTTATTTAAAAGTTATAATTTTTAAAACAATAAAAAAAAAAGTTAGCCAAGGCTAGGATCAAACTTAGATCGCCTGCGTTGCAAGCAAGTTTGCTACAGAATCAGCCATTCCACTGCATTGCCATAGGTATAAAATCGACCAGTATATGAGCTGTGATTAAAACTTTAGAGCTCTTTTTCTCAAAATCTTCTGGCTAGTGCATTTTACAATTCTTCTGGGTGTACACCTTTGAGGTATACTACTAACCTGCGAAGTCTCATCCTGAACTGAATTTCCAAGACCATAAGGTCTCCTTATAAGCTAAATCTAGAAAATCAAGCAGTACTGTTTATGTAGTTTTAAAATTGCTTTCCTGATTTGGTTTTGAAAAGTTAAATCATTTTGTTTTAATAATAAAATTTGTATTTTTATATCAATTAATGAACAATTAATTGATATAACAAAGCAAGCAATATAGCAGTAAATTTACTTACAATATAAAATATTAAAATTGTTAGTACTTTTCAATTTGTGGATATTAATTTCTCTTTCTCCTTTCTACTAATTTTAAATTTATGAAGTAATAGATTTATTCTGGATTGAAATATCATTTTTGAATTTAATTTTATATATCTATCTTGATAATTCAGTATAATATACTTTTCAATGATAAATTTCAAAATACATAATTACAATTATCAGATTAGCTAATCTAAATTATAAGGATAGTATTATTCAGTACATATATTAATTATTTATGTTTTTTTTGCAGAATTATTTGCTACAACAAAATGGATAATAAAGATTCTACTGAATGTATTGAGAATGAAAATAAATCAAAACGTGCAGATGAAATTTCCTCTTCTTTCCAAGAGAAAAGTAATTCCAGTAAAATATCAGCAGATGTGGTTAATAATTGTGAAACAGTAACAGATACTAATGATAAAAACAAAGATTATGAAACTGTTCTTAATGATGAATCTGATGATGATGTATATGAAGATGTTATTGATGCTGATGAAGAATATCTTTGTGAAAAAATGAAGAATATGTCAGACACAGAAAAATTGGTAAGTTTATAAATGTGAAGAAATATTTAACCAAACAATCACCTTAATTAATTGGACTATAAAGGCCAATTAATTAAGACAATTGTTTGGGATTGAATATTAATGTATTGGGCTTTTGGGATGTTTATTATATGTGAAGAAATACAGGTATAGGACAAAATAATAGGAATACCCCTTTCGAAATGTGTTGTACTTCGACCATCCAATACAGCCCCACCACGTGTTGCAACAGTCTTCCATCCAGTGGGGGTGAAAGGAAAGGTATCAGTCGAGCATTTGGCGGTGTGACAGTTGCATGAGAAAATTCTGTTCCCTGCAAAGCACCATTATGTCCAACCTATCCGATGTACACAGAGGCATGATTATTGAAGCTCGCCTTGCTGGAACATCCATGTCTAGAACAGCCAACCTTATGGGTGTTGCAAGGTCCACTGTGTTAAAGGTTATGACAGCCTACACAAAACTGGGAAAAGAACAGTGGGAAAGGAACTGCAAAACAGAACAGTGGGCAAAAGTTGAAGTTGACTGACCGGGATAGATGAGCATTGAAGAGAATAGTGACCTGAAAACATAAGACTACACTGCAGCAGATAACCTCTGAGATGAACACCCTTCTCCAGAACCCATATCCACCAAAACTATTCAACAGGAGCTGCATGCTGTGAGCATTCATGGCCGAGTAGCCATCCCAAAGCCATTATTGTTGCCGCAGAATGCTATGATGCGATAACAGTGGTGCTGAGACCACCGAAACTGGACACAACAGCAGTGGGAACAAGTCATCTGGTCTGATGAATCATCATTTACATTATTTCAGACCACTGGACATGTATTCGTCTGGCAAACACCGACAGAGGCATTTCATGTTGACTGTCTGGTTCCTACCATGAAGCATGGAGTCTGTGATGCTGTGGGGAGCGATATCATGGCATAGCTTAGGCCACTCATAGTCCTGAGGGAGAAGGTCAGAGGCGAGCATTATTGCAGTATTCTCGCAGATCATTTAAACCTTATGCTTCATACTCTTCATACTCTGTTTCCTGGAGAATGTCCTCTATTCCAAGATGACAACACCCCTGTACACGCAGCTCGCTGTGTTCAAACATGGTTGGATGACCTCACCTGGTGTCCTCAGTCTCCTGATCTCAACATCATTTAGCCTGTGTGGGGTTTTTTAGAGAACAAAGTCTGTGCTCAGTTTCCTCCTCCACGCACACTACCTGAACGCAAGACTGCTCTGCAGGAGGAATAGCTGCAAATTCCCTAAAACTTTCTGCATGACCTTTATTTCTCAATCCCATGTCGGATACAAGCTGTAATTCAGGCCAATGGTGGCCCAACTCCCTACTAATAAATATTTTGCATTCTTTCACAGGTGCTCCTATTATTTTGTCCTATACCTGTATGTCACTAGAAATATCAAGTTTTAGGGGATTAAAATATTCTAAAGCTATTTTAAGATTCAAATTTTAAAAGTTTTTTTTTGTTAAAATCTGTATACATTACAGCTGAATACAGTAATATCCCGAACTTACGCGATAGGTGGGACTGAGCGGTAACCGAATAAGTCAAATTCGCATAAGTCGGGGTATAATTTCGCATATAAATACATACAAATAATTTTTAATTGGGGCCGGAGACTAAAGAAAACAATAATTTAGAAAAAATGTTTAATAAAATCTTAGATAATACATATGTATAACAAATTAGGCCTATATTATTTTACAATTTTTCACATTTACTTGATTATTACGCCATAATTTTAACATTGTTTCCATCTCAGCGATAATACTGTGACGTTTACGAATGATGCTTGAATTTAAAGATTGAGCATTTTTCACAGCTTCGAGAATTTTTTCTTTGCCTTTTATAATTGTTCTGACCGACAATTCCGGTAGATCAAACTTCTTTGCCAATTCACAAATTTTCATTTTTGTATCGAAGTCTTTAATAATGGGTACGTTCGTAAAGTCAAACGAGTTAAACGCGTTAGTAACGAATCGTTCGAAAAGTCTAACGAAATAGGAATAACGATGACTTCATTCTCGCTTAACTCGTTCGACTTTACGAACATACCCAATGTTAACTTTACATTCCAAAGATAAAGTTTTTCTTTTCTTGTTTGATGCAGAAGAATTAGTTCTACTTCGTTTGGATGACATAGTAGAGTCTCTCGAGTCTCCGTAGATATAACAAACACAGAAATAAATAACACAAAATAAATTGTAGCTATGTGTGGATTCCGCGTGACACATCTGAACATGTAAGCTGAACAATAGTGTGGGGGGAGTGAGTAATCAAGGGTTGCGTGGCACTCAAACAAAAGACGAATCGATGAGATTTGAAAATCGCGTAACTCCAGGTTCGCATAAGTCGGGGTATTACTGTTTTGTTTAATCTAATTTTATGGTTTTTAGATTATTTTTATTAAAAATTATAAATATTTTGAAAAAATTGTTTACAGAAAAATGTTTTCCTTTTTTTCTACAGATCTTATAAAAAAAAATTAATTCATATTTTAAAATATTTAAAATTAATTCATAATAATTTATATGATATAATTAATATTTATTTAAAAATTCATATATAAGATTAAAAACTTTAAAAATTTTTTTGATTTTAGAATATACAAGAATACAAAAAAATTTTGAAAATTTTGTATTCTTGTATTTGAATATGAGAATACAATTTCTTACTTTTAATTATTACTCCAAACTACACAAAAGAATTGAAACTGCTTACATTTTGTTGTTAAAAGAACACAATTTATGAAATAAATTACTTTTTATATCTGACAATATAAAACTAAAACATATCACTTGAATATATTGATAATAGGCTGTAACTGATTTATTTGAACTGTTGCTATTAAAAATTATTACATAATATTTTTAGTGCATTAAAATTGCAATTGAAAGAAATTTCATTCAAAATGTTGTCAACAGGATTTAAAAACAAATATGCTATAAATTAATATATCTATATTATTAATTTTAAATATGGTTTGACTCTTTTTCATAAGTATTTGATAGATGAAAATTTGATATAACATGCTATTTTCTTTTATCTTTCTCTTCATTTATAAGATGAAATATTTGTTGCATGACCAATATTTACAACAGCAAAATAACCATGATTGTGATTTGATTGAATGTGTAGGCATTCTCTGATTGGATGTTTATAGGTTTCAGTCTGTTTCATTTATGTTGTGTAAACAGAATAACAGATACAGTACTATCATTCCCTCTGACAAAGATTTGTAACAACTGATTCACTTTTCCAAACAATTACCATATTTACTTGCTTATAAAATGAGGTTTTTATTCATTTATCACAGCTTCAAATTCCTAGGTTGTCCTATATGCATAAGCAAAAAATTCTTTGTGTTTTTGCAAATAATTTTTGTGAACTGTGTGCTTGTGTTTTTTACTGGATGCTTACCCTCTTGTATGTAAAAATTGTATTTAAAACAAGTGTGAGGTAGCAGGGGGCCACAGGGATGATCCCTAATGACCACTTAATCTGCATGGGTTGGTGAAACCAGCTCTTGGATTGTCGGATGGCTTAGGAGGGCAAATCGAGTGGGAGGGGTAGTGAGGTTGTGACAAGGTGTCCGAATAACTACACAAGTTGAACAACAATAACACATTTAATAAACAATTAAGAGATTATACATATCAAAGGAAAAAGCATAAATGACACACGTATAAATAATAAAAGGTTTCTATTCTATATCTATGTTCTATCCTAAACTAAAGAATAAGAGAGACCTCTCTAAGAGGGATGTATTGGAGAAAGAGACAAATTTCGGTCGAGGGTTTACCTCGTAGGATTCGATCTCGTCGTATAGGGCGTTAGTAGTATGCACTGGGATCGGAGGTTTCTAATCGTAGTTTCCCATGGGTGGCGATATGGAGCGATGGACAGTATGGCGGTATAGAGCTGGTGTCCCTTGCTGTCTGCTCAGCTATGTCTGATGTGGGTGTACGCTTCATTGATCTCCGACTGTAGAGGTCTGAATGGAGGTGTCCGCTGAGGGTGGCTACCTGGCGGTATCCTCTTCGGCTGTCTGTGCGGAGGTGCAAGTTTGACCCCTTTTTATACTTATCTCGGAGGGGGATCATGGGAGAAGAAAATCTGATGCAATCGCCAGCTCGACTTGCGTATAGCTGTGTTTATGTTATCGTCATCCTTTCCTTCCAATAATTGACATCTTCCCGTCATAAATTTGTCAAACTCCTTGATCTATTGACGTAAGGTGAGGTGACTCATGTCAGAATATGTCTCACTCCCTTTATAAAAATCGTTGCCTTATTTGGTCATTTAGATCGACTTTCTCATCGGTTCGCTTGGACTTAGAGGGGAGTATGGGGTTTTGTTTTACCCTTGTCGGTGATCTTTTGGTTACTCTCTAGACAGTAACAGGTGGTTGTCACCGTTAATTGGCTACTTATCTGCACCTTATATTTACATTAGACTTGAACGATCCCCTGGTGTGAGGGGAGTCCTTCTTCGGACGATTAAAGTCCCCTCCGATGTGAAGCAGTACACTGAGGGGTAAAAAGGTCTCCTCTTTACTTCATGAGAGGGGAAAAGAAAAAGGAAATAATGATAAAAATAAATTATACCGTGTGAAAATTTATACTTAAGTCCGAATTCTCACATAAGTATTTTATTTGGGTAATGTGAATCATTCTTATACATTGTTAGGAGTAAAGATGAATAGCAATAGGAAAAGCAAAGCTTTTGAATTGAATTCCAGATTGAAATTCCAAAATTACATATAAGTTTTAATCCATTCCCACATGAAAACAGATGATTATTCAGAAATCAGAATTCGGAGAAACTCATAAGTGTAATCAACGGAGAGTGGATTTGACTGTTAAGAATTGGCATGAAAAAGATTCCCGATTGTCCAGCTTTACATGAACAAATTATGTTGTCGATTTTACAAGATTTTTCCTTAAAGTTTAAAATGCCAGTAATTTTTGTGGGACAATGTATGCATTTACGTTCATTTCATATTTTACTTGTGATTAAATGAAATAAAATTAGAATTGTATTAATAAATCTAATTTTCTTTATTTTGATCTTTAAAGTCACACCTCATCTTATATGCGAGTAAATACGGTATTTTCATTGATAATTATAATGTCATTATTTAAAAAATAATTTTATTGTTCTCTAATTTACTTCTTTTAGAAGTAAAAGTTAGTTACTTTTATTTTCTTACAGTTAAATAAAGAAATGTTTTGTTTACCTAAGTATCTTCAGAAGTAAATGTTTCATTACTTTAATATAAATGGACTTTTTTTTTTTTTATTTCTTCACCAGAAGTTTGTACTTGAATCATCAAATTCTCAGGAGAAATTAATTATTATTTGTTTCTTTCATCAACAAAGATGCTACTATCTACAATCAATAAAATCAATTCCAGTTAGAGAGTATTTAAAGAAATGGCTGATAATTTGCATATTTCTCTCATTTTGTATTAATATTTTCTTTATATCTTTATGCATTCTCTTATATCAGTGAATAACCTAACCAACACTTTCATTTTATTTCATTTAGAATCATTGATAAATATGTTTTGTAGTGTTGTTATGTTATTTTGGGAATGTCAGTAGTGTGACATTAATGAGATATAGATTTTGATCATAACAAATAATAGAAAAGATTATCTTTATTTATGGTATTTTGGTTTACAAGCAGTTTCAAAAATGAAACAGGTTTGTAAATTGGAGCTATACTGCATATATTTAATAATCAGTTGAAGTATTTATTTTAATATATAATTTTTAATGGTTTACTTTTAGGAAGCAAAAGAAGAAGCATTAGATTTGAAAAAGAGTGGAAATACTTATTTTAAGGATGAAAAATATACAGAAGCAGTAAAAGAGTATACTAAAGCTCTAAATATATGCCCATTGTCATTTTCTAATGAAAGGTCTATACTTTATGCTAATAGAGCAGCCTGTAGAGCACGATTGGTAAGTCTTATAATGTTAACTTTGTTCTATTTAATATTAACTTTTAAATTTTTTTTGAACATTAATATTTAAAAATAGTAATATTTTTTTAAATGTTTACTTTAAAAATATATTATTTTTACAAAATTTAATTTTTGGATAAAGTTGTTTTTATGTATTTTTTTATATACTGCTGTACAATTTGAATTTTGTTTAATTCAATTATAATGTAATATAATTGAACAGATTTTTTTTAAGTATTTGTAATTCTTTTTATTATTTACAATTATTTGGTTGGAATATTTAGAACTAGACCTATTTCATTAGGTTTCTAATTGCTATTAGTTTTGAATTGTTTATTTAAAAAATAAATTTCTTTAGCATAATCAGTAGTGTAATCGAACACATCTGCACGGTAAGTGGGAGTTGCGGGGTCCCACTCTGGGCTGATTCTTTTCTTACAGTAGATCTAAATTATTTAATTAAAAATTATAATTATTAAATTTATTAAGAAATGGTGCCTAATTTCTCCCTCTAGTACCAAATTGTTCCATAATTTATTAGTATTATTGCCATTATCTAGCCTGATGACACATGGCATTGGTTGGCATATAGTTTTATAATGTATTTGGTTTTAGTGATGTTGTTTGTTTAAATTTCTTTAAATATTTAATGAAACAATATTTATTACAGTAGAGCGTCGATTATCCGAATCAATTGGGGACTGGGGTTGTTCGGAAGATTGATGTTTTGAATAACTGATTATGTACGAAAAAACATATTAATTTATCCCATCTTGACATTTTTCTCCGTTGCATATCGCTTTGCGTTGAATTTTCGTCGATGTTAAGCCTAATGAAGACTATTGTATTGTTAAAAATTATTTTTTTATTTTGTACAAACAAAATAAATATATTGAAAAATATAAAAACAATAAAAAATTATACTTCAGAAGTTAATTTAGTATCAAAAACGTAAAATATTTGAGTAGCCGAAGACATAGCCAAAGATTACAGCGCCACAGCACTGGCGAAAATTTAAATTTGTCGACTGGAATTCCTTCGGATAACCGACCTTCGGATAAACAACGCTCTACTGTTTTAATATTCGGCTGCGAATGGTACAGTTCCTTAGAGTTAATATTAAGGAAAAAATGATATCTTAAATATTTTAAGATATTATATGGCTGATTTAATTGCTTACTACTTGATGGATGAACTTGTATTATTGCGTATCTTTCAAGTACCGCGATAAACGTAACAATGGAAGGCTGATATAACCAAACACATTTTATGCTTTTCGCTTTAGTGTTCGTTATATTGTAGTATTTGATTTATATAACTACAAAGGCAGTTATATAACGTTAAAGGTAGTTATATAGTTACGTAGGAGTATATCACATCGAGTGACCAATCTAAGACATTTTTAAAATTTTTTATTTTTACTGTACTGTACATAATTTTAAAATATGTTAGATTGGTTACTTGGTGTGATAAACTCTTATGTAAAGTAATTTTTCTAAATATATATCAAAAGTAAACAGAAATTTTGAGTAAGAGATTGAAAATTCAGCAGAAAAATTTTGAGATTAAAAGAGTTTAAGAAAAAAAATTTACACATTATTTACAANTTTGATGTGCATATATCATGTTATGAGTGTTTGGAATGGAGATGTCTATTATATAAGCAATCTTATTGCATTTGTCAATGAAACTGATGTCAGGTCTATTGTGATGCATTGTTTTATCTATGATTATGGCTCTATCATAGTATAATTTCTGTGTTATTTCCTAATACTGCCTCTGGAGTATATCTGTAGTATGGTGCCAGGGTGTCTACTAATCCGTTTGTGTGAATGTTCTTAGTGTATTATATTTGCTATTTGATTATGCCTATGTAAATAGTCTGTTTGTGCTAAGAGATTATTATTATAATTACATATTCATTAATATTATTTGATAAATAAAAATAATCAAATAAAATGATAAAAAATTTTAGTTATTTTGCACCATTTTATATTTTTGGTTTAGTCAGTTCTGGTTCTGTTTCAGATATTTTGTTTTTTTCCATTTTGCTTATTTTTGCATTATATCTACACTGAATTGCTAATAAAAATAAAACAGATAGGGTAAAACACAATGTTTGAGACAATACCTTCTAAACTAAATACAGGCTAATGAAGACTTTTCTGCTGCAACTTCTGAGATGTGATAATTCCTAGAAAATTAAGGTGTTTGAACCAGTTACATATTGAGATTAAAGAAACAGAATAGAACAAAGTATAAATCATAGTTATATAACATTTTTATTTTTATTTTAGCAAGTTTCTGTGTAACTGCTATGGGTTATACACAGTAAATTATAATGTATTAGTGATATATATAAAAGTGGAATTGAGAATATTCTTCAAACATATTAAGTGTAAATAAATTATGATGGAGTTCATAAATTCCTGCATACTAAAAACAAATGTGAGATGTGCTTTTTATGTTTAAATAACGAAAGTAATAAAATATTTATTATCTAACTATGACTTAGACAATAGATGTTATATTACTTTTAAAATTCATATTAAATTGTTTTTAATTTTAATATGAAATATCAATTATCAAATTAGAATTGATTCATGAAAAACAGGATTTTAATGAACTTAATTATGAAAAAGCAAATTCAAATTTAATAGTTTATTTCCATAAATAATTTTTAAGCATCTCTTAATATATTATTAACTTTGACTAAATCTTTTATTTTTAAAGAAAACAATTTTGAGCATTCTATATAATTTATTTTTAATTCTACACTTAAGAATTTTTATTTCTTTATTCAAAATGATAATTTATTGTATCTGATAAAGAATGCTTGATCATAAACATTTTTGTTGGTTGTGAAACCATGTTGTACTAAATTTTTTTAAGAGTGTTAAATACAAGATCGTGTTATTAAATAATCACATGGCTTCTTTTCCCTCTTTATTTAATTGATACGGTATTTCTACACGTTTCGGGATTTTGGCCCCTCGTCAGTCAACTAAAACAAGAAATAATGTATACAGCATTTAAATATATTTTACAAGCAAATTTCACAAACAATATAAAATACATGTATGTAACTTACACATACCATTAACCACGATATGGCACTTGTATGCTATAAGTTTGCATATCACAAACCCGAAGAAAGAGGTGGTTACATGAACATTATAAAATTCTGGTACATCTAGTTAAAATGGTAAAGCGATATATAAAAAATACACATATCACTTTACCATTTTAACTAGATGTACCAGAATTTTATAATGTCCGTGTAACCACTTCTTTCTTCAGGTTTGTGATATGCAAACTTATAGCATACAAGTGCCATATCGTGGTTAATGGTATGTGTAAGTTACATACATGTATTTTATATTGTTTGTGAAATTTNAGGATTTAAAATTAAATTTCATCTATAGATGTGCAGAAAAATTTTAATAATTAAATTAATGAAGCTATAATTGTTGTAAAATACAATTTTTATGATTATATGGCAGAATTCTAAGATTTTTAATTTTTTCCAAATATATTGTGTGATAAACAGGGTGGGCTTATACATGCATGTGGCCTATACACACATCCAAATTCATAAAATACTGTATTTATAACTAGTTGCTATAGTTATTCTATATCAGCTAGTTATCTAACTTATTCTTCTCTCTTCATTTTGATGGATTTTTAAATCTTTCAATGTCATATTAAATATTAGACAAATGTTGTTAATGTAGGATATAATGATCATCAATTGGCTCAAATATGCAAATTTTTGCAGGGGAAAAAATTAAAAATAAATTATATAATTTTCTCTATAATTAAATTTAAAGTATTTTCNCACCTCTTTCTTCAGGTTTGTGATATGCAAACTTATAGCATACAAGTGCCATATCGTGGTTAATGGTATGTGTAAGTTACATACATGTATTTTATATTGTTTGTGAAATTTGCTTGTAAAATATATTTAAATGCTGTATACATTATTTCTTGTTTTAGTTGACTGACGAGGGGCCAAAATCCCGAAACGTGTAGAAATACCGTATCAATTAAATAAAGAGGGAAAAGAAGCCATGTGATTATTTAATAACACGATCTTGTATTTAACACTCTTAAAAAAATTTAGTACAACATGGTTTCACAACCAACAAAAATGTTTATGATCAAGCATTCTTTATCAGATACAATAAATTATCATTTTGAATAAAGAAATAAAAATTCTTAAGTGTAGAATTAAAAATAAATTATATAGAATGCTCAAAATTGTTTATGATCAAGCATTCTTTATCAGATACAATAAATTATCATTTTGAATAAAGAAATAAAAATTCTTAAGTGTAAAATTAAAAATAAATTATATAATTTTCTCTATAATTAAATTTAAAGTATTTTCTAACAATGTTTTGTAATTATTTTTGCCAAAATGAGTAATGGTTGTGTTTTGTTACTTACAGGTAAACTAAAAGATTTAGGAAATTTGGTTCTACGTCCATTTGGTTTATCTACAGAAAACTTTAAACTTGTTCAAGATCCAAAAACTGGTGGTTATTCTGTGAATTTTCAAAAATAATGAAGGATATTAATTTATAAACTGTATATTAATTTTTATAACAATTAAAATATAAATTAGTTCAAAATATGTACTGTACATAAATAAGAATTAAAGTTATATACAGTTACATTAAACTAACTTTGATTTAAAATAGACAAATTTNATAATAAAAAATTATACTTCAGAAGTTAATTTAGTATCAAAAACGTAAAATATTTGAGTAGCCCAAGACATAGCCAAAGATTGCAGCGCCACAGCACTGGCGAAAATTTAAATTTGCCAACTGGAATTCTTTCGGATAATCGACTCTACTGATTTTGACATTATCATAATAGTTGGAACATAAATTAATTGTAGAATACCAGGTAAAGATAGTAAGTTCAAGTATATCATAACTATAAACTGAAATCGTGGAAGAATTATTCAGTTCTGTGATTAGATTATGATTTTATCAATCCCAGAATCTTAAGACCCCAGATTTGTTGTTGTTTTCCATAAACTCAATACAAACTCAAGAAAGATACTTTTACTCAATAAATTCATGTAAAATATTGTGCATCAAAAATGACTTGAAAATATCAGCATTATCTATTAGGAAAAAAACCTAAAATCAGGAATTTCCAGGAATTTCTTCAGTTATTCAAGAGGATTCAATGACTTCATAAATTTATAGTTACTGTATTTATTCTAGACTACAATCCCTGGAAAGTGCTTGAATAACAACAGCTATGTGAAAATTATTGATTGCAGGAATTTATCTTGTTAACAAATAACCCTAGAGTAATAAAGATTCTGGATTTTATATCTAATGATAAGAGCTTTTATTATGCAAAATATCACATTGGGAAAATACCCTGGAAAAAGTTTTCAAACATTCTCATCTTGGGAAAAAGTTTTTGAACATACAGAATAATAGGAAAAAGTGTATTAAAGCACTTTGTAACAATAATCACATTAGTTTAGGGAAATTAGTCATCTGAAAGTATTACATACATCTATTTCCATTATTTTTGCCTTTACATTGCTATAAAATGGGTCCTGTTAAACAATACATATTAGTGAGGATTTTTGAAATCAAATTGTGACTTTGATTCTGGAAGGGAAAACTCAGAGAGAACTTTCTCAACAACTTGATTGTGCTCTTTAAACAGTAAATTACAAAGGGAAGAAATATGAAAGTTTAAAAACATTGAAAAGAACTGTCTGACCAAGAGCAATAAGCAAGAATCAAGGTTGTGCCTTGACACACATCTGCCTACAAAATTGAAAAGCCACTTCAAAAGAATGAAATGTTAAATGGAAAGTTTACCATTCTAATATTTGCAATTGTGCAGTTCAAAACTGATTAAATGCAATGGACTACAATTCTTGTAAAGCCAAAACAAAATTATTCATGTTGAAACAACACATGAAAAAACAAATGGAATGGACAAGGCATTATCGAAAGAGGACTATTAATGATTGGGAGAAAGTTATTGTAGATGAAAGCAGACTCTGTGTTGTATGTGGAGACAATACTGGAGAGTTTGTATGGTGCAGAGCAGATGAAAAGTTTCAACAAGATTGTCTTTTGCATAAGAAGAAATTCTTGGTTGATCTTATGATATGGAGCTACATGTCAGCAAAAAGCAAGGGAGAACTGTGTATTGTAAAATAAACTGCAAATGGCAAAGTGTACAAAGAAATTTTGGATGTTTTTCTGATTCCTGTGATGGAAAATCAATGTGGAAATAAAAGTTGCTTTTCGAAATGATAATGCAAGTTTCCATTGTAATAAAAATGTAAAACAATTTTTGAAAAAGAGAAACATTAAATCTTTACTTGGCTGGCAAACAAGCCCTGATTTAAATGTTATTGAAAATCTGTGGGCTAAACTGAAAATGTTAGTGGATGAAAAACAACCTACCACAAAGAATTGAAAGCTGCTATGTTGCAGAGTTGGAAGGAAATTAATGATGACTATTGCTCAGAACTTTTAAATCAGTGCCATCCCATATTAAAGCTGTTATTAAGGCTAAAGGAGGTTCAACAAAATACTAAGGAATTTTCATTTAATTTTTTTTACTATGTTTGAAAAGTTTTTTCCAAGGTAAGAATGTTCAAAAACTTTAGTCCATACTAGGATTGGAAAGATTTTCTTTTTTTATATTCTAAATTATTTTTTCAGTGTGATATTTTGCATAATAAAAGCTCCTATCATTAGAAATAAAACTCCAAAATCTTTATTACTCTAGGATTATTTGTTAACAAATAAAAAAAATTCCTGCAATCAATAATTTTTGCTTAGCTGTTGCTGTTTGAAAACTTTCTCCAAGGATTTTAAATGAACTATTAAAGTAATTCATAAATGTCAAGAATCAATCTTGAAAATTTCTAAGTTGGAGAAAGAAAAATGGTACAGGCTAAACCCTAGTGGGGTTTCAGGTTGCTGACCTCTACTAAGGATCAGCACCTTGAAACTTGTAACCCCAGAGTCACATGCAGCTCTTGAGAATATTTTTAGCTCTCAATGCCACTTTTTGCTGTATAGAAAAATGTCTACTATGATATGTATTCTTTTTGTAAACTGTGTAAGATGCAAAAAAATTAAAACAATGCAGTATAATATTTTTTCATTGATAACTGTCTAATTCATTAGATCAATTTTCCAGAGAAATGGCTTAAAAATGATTGTTCTAGGGAAGTTCTTTTTCACTGTACAGTTGTCATCAATATGAAACTGTGTAGTTGTTTTAAAAGCTTTGGGCCAATAGGTGCATGTGGCTGTGACTTAATGGAAGAAAAATACAGGTGCTCCTTTACTTATGAACAGGTTATGTTTCCAGGGTTTTGTCATAAGTTGGAAAGTAATCTAGAAAGAACTTTCGTACACAGAATAACCACTTACTGTTAGTGTTTTATCCTTCAGTGCACTTAATAAATATATTTTGCATGTTTACCTACTCACTATTGCTTAATAGTAGATGTTTCAAACACAGTTTTTTCACCTAATGCACTTAGTTCTATAATGTCCAGTTCAGTTTCCATGGTAATAGAGTAATACTTCTTGCATAATCTCCACTGCTAGATTTACTATTACATTTTGGATGCATTTTTGAAGCACTAATTATAAAAGTTTATAAAAATTGCAAACACTAGTGAAAACTGCCTTTACATCAATGTTATCAACTTCAATGCCATCTCACAGTGACCATGGAACCCTAGAATTTGTGTTAAAAGAAAAATGATATGGAATAGAAATAATTCCATGTTAATTACTTATTAAATGTTTATTATTTATTACTGGCCAAAGACTGACTTCAACACCACCCCACGAGGGCAAGAGAACTTCAGAATCTGTGAGAAGTTTAAATTTTAGATGTACGATCAGATTTTTCACAATTCTGAAAGTTTGTAAGTTGAACATTTGTAAGTAGGGAGAATCTGTACAGTTATAATAGGGAATAGTGTGTGATAAAATGATATGAAGTGAATATGGGCAAAGCATAGCTTGGAAGTATGGCCAGCCATAACAGAATTAATTTTAAACTAGGCTGTAATGAAAGAAGTTTGCACTACAATGGCCAATTACATAAAATGGATCAGGGATAAAACTTAGACAATAAATGGAACAAAAAGAATAAATTGAGAAAGTAATATAAAAAAGAGTAGAAACAAAATGATATAAATTTCAGCACAATAGACAACTAATAGTAACAGAAACTCTTTTCCAACTGTGCCACTAATATAACCTTAGAAAAGATCATTTTTATTTATTTTATGTAAAAAACTGCTACATATTTTTATTCAATGATGTATTATTCTAAGTATTTTTCCTTTCTTGATTTTGTACCAGAACATGTATTCTTGATAACCAGAATGTGTATTAAGATTACATCTTAAAAAATTCATCATTGTAATTATAAATTCTGTAAAATATCACGTGGATGATCAATTTAATATTAACTGATTAAAAATTGAAGAAAAAATCTGAAATTGAAACAGTCATCTTTTATTCACTTTCAAGTTATGGAATACATTCCACAATGCCCTAACCTTTCCTTTGAGGCTACTTTGATGTCAATTTCAATCAGTTAATATGAAATTGACCATCTGTGTGAAATTTTACAAGAATTCACTGCCAGAGGTCAGCTTGAAATCTATATATTACCCTCATTCCTTTCAATGTATAAAAGATCAAGCAACAGTGCAATTCAAATGCCACATGGATGGAAAAATATAGATATTTGTTTGTCTCCATTCTGTTTTTTAAAAAATGTTTTATTTTTTAATCAAATATATATTTTTTTCTTGTTTTAAGGAAATTTAAAAATTTTTGATGACAGAGTAGCATCAAAGGTAAGGTCAAATTGCCATGGAATGTATTCCAGAACATAAAAGTGAACTAGAATACTATGCAACTTTTGTCATATCATGATGGAATTGAAGTGGCGCATTGCATTTTTGTAATTAAAAATTTTTAAATTATAATTAGTACATATAAATTAGCATTTATTCCATCTGACCTGAGTGCTGACACATGTTTGAATTTATATGTAAGAACATTGTGTGAGATCAGAAGAAAATGGTTGCTGACCACATTAGAAGACAATCTTTACAATTGTTGGCCATGGAAAGATGATCCTTGCACTTGCTAGAAAGAAATACACAATCCTTAACCTGTTGGGTAATGACAGGCAACCTTTACATTCTCAGCAACTTTGTTTGTTTTTGGCACCATTTTCTGTAAGCTGCATGCAGTGTTTTTCCTCTTCAAATTTCCATTGTATCTCAATTGTAACACGATTTTTAAATTAAATTTCCATCATATCAATAGATATATTAAAGCAGATAATACATTAATATTTTTTACACTTAAAATTAAAAATATTTGTATTTTGATATGTATTATATTAATTTAAATTTTAATTTGCAGAATGAAAAGGAAGAAGCCATTTTAGATTGTAATAAAGGTAAGATTATTACTTAGAATTACAGCTGTCCCTTGATAGTCTGATGTTTTGTAATCTGACATGCTCAGTAGTCCGACACACCTCCCATCAAGGTCCCCATTACCTGTCTGCTTGCATAGAAGCATGTTGCGACGTGAATCTCCCCACCCAATTCTTACATGATGACACACATTTCGTGTGTTTTCCGTGAGCAGTTCTGTTTGAACAATTGGAGTAGGGAATATTGTAGCCTACTGCTAGCAAAACAATGCCAAATATGTAATCACTTTTGGTAATCCAACATCCTTTTGGTCCCATACCTGTCAGATTATCAAGGGACACCTATACATTAATTGATTTTTATTATATATATATATTTCTACAGGGAAAATTAAAAATTATTAAAATTTTACCTAATCTGCTATTATTTATTTTTTTACATCTGCTCCTTTCTATTTATATTGTCTCTTGTTATTATCTTTATCTAACATAGTGTAAGTCTTGATTTAGGTGGGATGCTCCCGCATTTAAACTTCATATATTGCTGTCCTCGATGTGCTTGGTAGGTTCAAAAAGTTTCACTTTAGGAATACAATACAAAGAATTTTTCTTGTAAATGTAAGAGACTTTTGATGTCCTCAATTTGCTGAATAAATGATTATAGTATATTGTATAGCGTGCATTGACAGCTGATTGAACAGTCTCTTGCAAAATGGAATTGCTCTTGCATGATATACATTAAACTATAAGTGAACCTACAGTCCAATACAATACTCCAATATCACAAGGAAGTTGCCATAAGGCAGCTTCCTGTCTCCCTGGGACATATGCATCTACTAAAAGGACCTTTCACAAGGATACTATACTGACAAGTGAGAAAACTTATTATTGCAACATTGAAGATGATGCTTCTGGCAAAATGTAACTTTGACATCTTTGGTTCTGGAAAGTTGTGAGAGAAAGTGTAAAAAGTATTACCAGTAAAATGTGCAACAAATATGTTCCAGCAGAAAATGCAATTCCAAGCACATCATGTTTTATGTGCAGCAGTTGCACTGAGGTGAATCAAGAGACAATTTGAATTTACAATTGTCACAATTCAATTTTTGAAGTAGCCTGGTATCCTGTATATCCTGAAATGTATCCTGCTCAGTGCCCACTCTAATTAATTGTGAATATAAACTTGCACATATTAGGGTTACTGGGTCAAAAATTATATCTTAATAAAGATTTAAGCAGATGCTAATCTGAAAAGAAAGAGTTGGTCTGCCACTTCTTTGTATTTGCTATGTAGACCACCTTACTTTTTTTGAAGATTGTTGCTAGTGTAAATTGTAGGTGTAAAATAGGGCTGGGTAAGGCTGTAATGTAGGTAGTCAAATATACAAAACTTGAAATCAGCAAAATATGAAAAGTATTCCACTTCAGTTTGCAAAAAGTATGGCCACTTTATAATTTAATATAAAGGATCTACAAAGTATTATACTTAATTTAAATGTAATTATGAACAAACATCATCTGTGAATACTTGTGTATCAATATTTAAACTATCAGTATAGTTAGTCACTTTTTTACATAAATATTATGAATTTTGTTTATAATAATCAATACTGTTAAATCTTATTATTTGTAATTTGCATGAATTAAAAAAATTCACTGTCTTTTGTTGCTAGAAGCATTGGCTGTATTAATTTAACAAAAGAAAATTTATTAGTTATAATATATAACTAAATAACAGTTATTAAAAGTAGATACAGTATTTATGACAATCAAACCTAAATTATAATCATCAAATGTCTAAATTCCACATCCAGCATTTAGATTATTGATTATTGGAATATTCAGAAAAATTCTTAAACTAAATCTTAAAATTTTTAATTCAAAAAACAATAATTAAATCATAAATTTGTTTAAAAGTCAAGATTAAATCAATTTTTTAAATGAGTCACAAGCTGAGAACAACAATTACAAAATGTTGACATTTTATAAATTTTTGTTGATGCGATTTTAATATAATTGTAACCCAGAACAGTGGATTTGTCTCATAATAATGTTTTATTCATACATCTTTTTATTGAATTCATATTAATTATGAATTGAATAATAATAATAAAATAACATTAAAATGTATGAAGAAAATTTGATTATTTGGTTTTAAGTATAAACCACAAATTTAATAATCAGTTTTATAATTTAGTCTTAACTTATAATAATCAGTATTTATTTAAAAGTTCTTGTATTAAGATAGCATATTTTCATGTTGATAAATATTCCATTGATAAGTTGAACTGTTGAAATAAAATTTTTTCAGTAAGACAAGAAAAAAACATGAAAGGAATGAAATATAAAAAATTAATTTAATTTATATAAAGTAATTTAAAATCATTCAATAAATGGATCAGTTTCATATATGTATTATTGAATGAATGTTGTCTCAGTTTATTTTCTGCTTAAAATCAGTTTAAAAAAATTTTAATGTAAATAAGTGTCTTACCTTAAATTTACATGGTACTCAAATTATACAGTTTGATTTAACACAGAAGAAAATATTAGCCAGAAGAATGCAATAAATTTATTTAACAAATTAGAGTTTCAATTGATGTATTTTGGTAATGGTATTTTGAAATATTTTTCAGTATTTTAAAGTAATTATTAAAATTAATGCTTTATAATTGATATAACATAGTAGTGTATATAATTATGATGATGTTGCAATCATGTTGCCACTACTATTCATACATTCAAAGGGTTGTAATTCTTGTTCATTTCATAACGATTAATAAAAAAATTTATAAATTTGGAACTTATCCTCTGTTTCACATATACAGTGGAACCCCGGTTAACAAACTTAATCTGTTCCGCGACTCCGTTCGTTAACTGAATTGTTCGTTAACCGAAGCAATTTTTCCCATAGAAATTAATGCAAATGCAATTAATCCATTCTAGTCTCTGAAATTTTTGTGATTTTATTTGTAATATACAGTAATTTTCTTTGATGAAAATGTAGGAAAACGTAGTATCTATCATTACAGCAACAAACATGTAAACTTTGTTTAATAAAATAGCACTGTAC